ACAACATTTTCATCAACTGATCAAATATATAACCTTGGTTTTCTTTGTGTTTCTGTTTATAGACACCTTATTTAATATATGTTGTTGATTGATTAACATTGAACTCATGGCCAACAACACTGTGACTCATGCCTGAATGAAGCTTTTCTTTTCTTTTTTTTTTTTTTTTGAGACAGAGTTTTGCTCTGTCACCCAGGCTGGAGTGCAGTGGAGCGATCTCGGCTCACTGCAATATCTGCCTCTCGGGTTCAAGTGATTCTCCTGCCTCAGCCTCCTGAGTAGCTGGGATTACATGTGCCCGCTACCGTGCCCAGCTAATTTTTGTGTTTTTAGTGGAGACGGAGTTTCACCAGGTTGGCCAGGCTGGTCTCGAACTCTTGACCTCAGGTGATCCACCTGCCTCAGCCTCCCAAAGTGCTGGGATTACAGGCGTGAGCCACCTCGCCTGGCAATGAATGAAGCGTTTCTAGCATAGTTTATAAGGCACATTACAGTCTTCTTGCTCTTAAGAACACCGCACAACACTTTGGCATTAAGTGTAAGAGCCATTTTAAACAGTGAAATCACCAACAAATAGCCCCAAAATGCAAAAAGTGCATCACTAGATAGACCTTAAAAAAGACACTTACTGGCCGGGCGCGGTGGTCACGCCTGAAATCCCAGCACTTTGGGAGGCTGAGGTGGGCGGATCATGAGGTCAGGAGATTGAGACCATCCTGGCTAACATGGTGAAACCCCGTCTCTACTAAAAATACAAAAAATAGCTAGGAGTGGTGGCACGTGTCTGTAATCCCAGCTACTCAGGAGGCTGAGGGAGGAGAATCACTTCAACGAGGGGGTCAGAGGTTGCAGTGAGCTGAGATCACCACTGCACTCCCGCCTGGTGACACAGCAAGACTCCGTCTCAAAAAAAAAAGACACTTACTAATATTTACACCACGAGAGCTGCAACAAGAGAAGAAGGCACAGCACTGCCTTGTTCCGCTTCAGCTGGGAACATGTGTATCAGGTGACTCAAACTTGTCACCTCTCAATACAAGTCTGTGAATGACCTCAGTAGCACTGTAAGTATTGATTTTGGGTTACAAACACATTTAGTGACTAGGCAAATCCACTAATACAGAACTCACAAGTGTCGAAAACTGACTGTAAATGCTGTGGTAGTTTGGAGCCTCGGGCTATTTTGACCTTGTGACACTGCCATCTCAACATGTAGTTTCTAGGTTGCCTCAACAGCGAAGAGATTGTTGGAGGCTCATTTGCTAGCTCTTAAATTCTTTGGTCAACCACAGTCCATTGAACAGAACTAATCACTTGAGCCCACCTAACCCCAAGACATCTGGAAAATGTGAGGAACACCTAGATATCTAGTAAGCAATTAATATTTCAGTTACAAAAGCCAAAACAAAAAAAGAGAAAAATAATTGTACTTTACAAAGGGAGGCATCTGGCTGAGTACGGTGGCTCACGCCTGTAATCCTAGCACTTGGGAGGCTGAGGCAGGCGAATTGCCTGAGCCCAGGAGTTTGAGACCAGCCTGGGCAATGTGGCGAAACCCTGTCTCTACTAAAAATACAAAAAAAGCAGCTGGGCTTGGTGGCGCGCACCTATAATCCCAGCTACTCAGGAGGCTGAAGCATGAGAATTGTTTGAACCCTGGAGATGGAGGTTGCAGTGAGCTGAGATCACACCACTGCACTGCACCCTGGGTGACAGAGTGAGACTCAGTTTCTTTTTTGTTTTTTAAAAAGGAGGCATTTGTTCTTGTCAGGCAGAGAGTGCCCTGTGGGAGTTTTGGGGAGTGAGGATGTTTCAGAGTTCTCAACTCCTGTGGCTCTTCCCAGGTATATCCATTCTAACTGGCAGATCACAGAATGTTCCAGTTATCACCAGTCTTATCCATTTCATTTTAGCAGGACATATGATTAATTTCTTGTTCTGGACCCTTGTAATTTAAATTTGCTGGTTGTTCTCTGTTTCCATTTGGTCATCTGTAGGTTGGAACTTGTATCGCTCTTGTTGAACTTTATCAAATTATAAGCAATAACCAATACACTCAAATAGCCTGGTATATTTGCCATAAACCCTAAGCACTTCGCCCTCAGTTTGCACATAGTCTGAATCCTTAGCAGCAAGAGATTTGCTTAATCAACGGCTTACAACAGCAGAACATGGACTGCCAGGAAATTTTCCATGCTGAGTTGAGGGAATCGTCATTGTTTCTCTCTCTGGTTGACTCAACTAGTTCCATATTTGTTCTGAAGGTCTTTCACTCAAGATACAACTTCCAGATAATCGTTTATGTCTTCATTAGAACTCCTTTAGTTTCAAGTAGAAAAAATCATCTTGAGCTATTCTAATATAGTAATAGTAACACTGAGTGAATGTTTATTCTGTACCAGTGTCTGGCACGTAATAAGTGCTTAATCTTTGTTGAATGAATGCTAGACATTGCACTAAGCACTTTAAATGCAGTATCTAATTTAATCCTCACAAAAACTCTACACTAGGATTTTTTCCTTTTTACAGTAAAAACAACAACAGCAACAACAACCACAACAACAAAAAACCAAAAACAGAGATTTAGAAGCTGCCCCAGGACACACAGCTAGTAAATGCTGGAACCAGGGTTTGAACCTAGACCATCTCATTTTTTGCTACCCTATGAGGAAAAAAGAGAATTTATTATAAGACGGTTGTTACAGAATGAAGGGCAGAAATTCAGAAGGATTACAGGATGTGCTGGAACTGGAAAGCTGTTGGGAACTGGGGTCATATTCTCCCTCAGATTCATCTGTCTGCTTTTTAGACTAGATGTGGTATCCTTGATGGGCAAAGGGAATGTTGGTAAAATTACACAACAGATCATTTCACGCATCTCAACTTTTGATTTGCCTTGGAAAATCCCATCATTGCTCCCAGCTGTCTTTGTGACCCAGGTTAAGTCATTCCATTTCTTTAGGCTTCAATTCCCCTGTCTATAAAATGAGAAGTTCTTACCAGAGGATTCCTCAGGTCTCTTCTGTAATCCGGGGAGGCTGAGGCAGGAGGACTGCTTGAGTCCACGAGTTTGAGGGTGCAGTGAGCTAGGATAATACCACAATATTCCAGCCTGGGCCACAGACCAAGACCCTGTCTCTAAATAAATAAATATATAAAAATAAAACTCCGTGATCCTAAGTGAATCTTCTAGGTCAGAAGCACATTAATAATGAAGTTCCATGTGTGAATTTGAGGGAGAGAATGGGGAAGGATTCTAGGGAAAGGAGGACAGAATGAAAGTTTGGGTGTAGCTTCAGTGTTGAATTGCTTTTACAGTTGGTGTAAAGTGAAGGCCTTTGGGGAGATATAAATGGGGAATGAAAAAGACTTCTAACCCTGGCCTAGGGCGGTGGCTCAAGCCTGTAATCTCAGCACTTTGGGAGGCCGAGGTGGACAAATCACTTGAGGTCAGGAGTTCAAGACCAGCTTGGGCAACATAGTGAAACCCTGTCTCCACCAAAAAATACAAAAATTAGCTGTGCGTGGTGGTCCGTGCCTATAGTCCCCAGCTACTTGGGAGGCTGAGGCAGGATAATCGCTTGAACCAAGGAGGCAGAAATTGCAGTGAGCCAAGATAGTGCCACTGCAATCCAGCCTGGGTAACAGAGTGAGACTCATCTCAAAAAAAAAAAAAAGGAAAAAAATGGCGTCGTGGCTCACACCTGTAGCGCCAACATTTTGGGAAGCTGAGGTGGGCAGATCACTTGAGGTCAGGAGGTCAAGACCTGCCTGGTCAACATGGTGAAACCCCATCTCTACTAAAAATACAAAAATTAGGCAGTAGTGGTTCACACCTATAATCCCAGCTACTCGGGAGGCTGAGGCAGGAAAATCGCTTGAACCAGGGAGGCAGAGGTTGCAGTGGTGAGATAGCCCCACTGCACTCCAGCCTGGGCGACAGAGAGAGAGTCCATCTCAAAAAAACCAAAACCAAAAACCCAAAAAAACAAAAAACAAAAACAACAAAAAAGACTTCTAACCCTGACCAGACCAGATTATTTTGAATGACATCTCTTTCTCTCTCTGTTCCATGAGCAGTTCTGTGTGTAGGGAGATCAGTCCCTGTGCGTAGTGATTGAATCTGGTTTCTCTCTTCTTGGCTCAGAGTTTTTCAGAGGGCTTTCACTTAGGCCACAGAGAAAGAACCAAATAATAGGGGATCCCAGAGGGGAAGGGAAGACCCAAACATTTGAATGGCCTAATAAATAAATCACATTTCTCTGGGTCTGCTTCCTTATCCATAAGTTGAAAAGTTTGGTCTATGTGATCTCTGGGGTGCTGCTCAGCTCTTGACACTCTGTGGTTCTGGGTAGTGAGTCGAAAGCAGCTTTCCTCTTCCTGAATTCTCCATCCTTGGACCAGACCTCTGTCTTCATTTCTCATCGGTTTATACCTTGCTGCCCAGTTTCTTGCTCCTGGGCATCCTTTCTTCCTCAGTTTCTTCAAATCCTACTTGCTTCTTAGCTCCTTCATATCCTCTTTGTTTTCTATGTTTCTGCAGAACCCCATATTACACCCTTACACACCTGTTCTCCAGTTCTCCGTCTCCATGTCTGCCTATTCCTTTCTGCATCATGGGCTCCTAACTCAAGCAATCTCCTTGGGTTCCTCTGAGGGGCCCCTGGGATCCCCTATCATTTGTTCCTCTCACAGAAGCATACCCTTCTCCAGAGCCAAAGGATCAGATATTCAGTGGCTCAGGTAACAAACCTGCTGTCAGGTTACAGATATTGTTTCCTGAAAGACCACACTACAGTGTCAGTGGAGCCTCAGGCTGCCTGCAGTGCCCTGCCCTCACCTGGCTATCCCACACAGTTGAGATTAACCAGAACTCCCCTCCGGTACCAGTGTTCACCTGGAAACATGGCTCTGAGCCTCTGGCCCCTGCTGCTACTGCTGCTGCTGCTGTCCTTTGCAGGTGAGAAGAACAGGGAACAGAACTGGGGATGAGGAGGAGGGTGGCTGGAAAAAGATTTTAAGAATGTGGAGGTTAACCTGTTAGATAGAAGGACAAAGGAGAGAGGCAGAGACTTATGCAAAAGGAAAAAATGAGGGCTAAGAAAAGCAGGCCAAGACTTACTATGGGCCAATGAAAGGGGTTCAGCTCACCATCCCCTCACCTCATCTTTAGATCCAGGTAGGGAACTGTGCTCAGAGGCAGGGTTGAGTTTGGGCTCTATGTTCCTCCCCTTTAGTGACCTCTGGTTTCTCTCCTTACAGTAACTCTGGCCCCTACTGGGCCTCAGTTCCCTGGGCCCTGGTCTCTCCTTCCTGAAGTCATTGCTCTCCACTCTGGACCAGGCTTCCCAGGGCTCCCTGAGCCGCTCACAGTTCTCTACATTCCTGGCCAACATTTCTTCTTCCTTTGAGCCTGGGAGAATGGGGGAAGGACCAGTAGGAGAGCCCCCACCTCTCCAGCCACCTGCTCTCCGGCTCCATGATTTTCTAGTGACACTGAGAGGCAGCCCGGACTGGGAGCCAATGCTAGGGCTGCTGGGGGATCTGCTGGCACTGCTGGGACAGGAGCAGACTCCCCGAGATTTTGTGGTGCACCAGGCAGGGGTGCTGGGTGGACTTGTGGAGGTGTTGCTGGGAGCCTTAGTTCCTGGGGGCCCCCCTACCCCAACTCGGCCCCCGTGCACCCGTAATGGGCCCTCTGACTGTGTCCTGGCTGCTGACTGGTTGCCTTCTCTGCTGCTGTTGTTAGAGGGCACACGCTGGCAAGCTCTGGTGCAGGTGCAGCCCAGTGTGGATCCCTCCAATGCCACAGGCCTCGATGGGAGGGAGGCAGCTCCTCACTTTTTGCAGGGTCTGTTGGGTTTGCTTACCCCAACAGGGGAGCTCAGGTCCGAGGAGGCGCTTTGGGGCGGTCTGCTACGCACAGTGGGGGCCCCCCTCTATGCTGCCTTTCAGGAGGGGCTGCTCCGTGTCACTCACTCCCTGAAGGATGAGGTCTTTTCCATTCTGGGGCAGCCAGAGCCTGATGCCAATGGGCAGTGCCAGGGAGGTGAGTGTGGCCAGGGCTGGGGCTGGGATGTGGCAGGGCAAGGAAAGTGAAATTGGGGTAGTTCTCTTCCTTACTCTTTCCGTCCTAGGTAACCTTCAACAGCTGCTCTTATGGTAAGTGAGAGGGGACCAGTTCTGAGGGATTGGGCCTGGAAAATCTAGAGGTGGAGAGCTGACGACATCAGCCTCTAGAGAGGAAAACTGATGGGAGGAGTGTGGTTTAGTGGTTTTGGAGTGTGACTGTCTGGGTTGGTGTCCCAGCTCCACGTCTTCCTAGCCATATGACCTTGGGCAGTTTACATAATCTTTCTATACCTCAGTTTCCCCATTTATAAAATGAGAATGATAATATTAGTTACCACAGAGTTGTTGCACCCGATTAAATGAGTTGATACTGTGTGTGCAAACAACTTAAAACAGTGCTGGCACATAGTGCTTAATAATGTTAGCTAGTAAAGATGGGATTTGGAAAATAAGGACACAGCTGGATTCCTCTACCCTCTTCCTACTTCAGTACAACAGTGCCAGAGCATAATTAGACATATTGAGTTGTTGAGCAGATTTCCTAACAGGAGGCCCGCTGAGGGTTGTGTGTAAGCTATCTGAAAGCATATGAAGAAAGGAGACAGAAGGGAGCAGACAGAAAGGTAGACAGAAAGCATTCCAACTGGGGCTTCTCCTAGGTGATTTTGGAGCTTGGCGGGGCAGCTCTCTCCTTTTTTGCCCTGTCGCAGCATTTCAACCAGTAATGCCTAAACTCTCAGGGACCTCGCTTGTAGAAAAGCCTATGCTTGCCATGCCCCTTGAGGGCTCTGGGTCAGGGTCAGAATCTTCAGCCAGAGGAAATGTGAACTGACCAGATCCTGCCTGCTCCTCCCTCTGCACCCAGGGGCGTCCGGCACAACCTTTCCTGGGATGTCCAGGCGCTGGGCTTTCTGTCTGGATCACCACCCCCACCCCCTGCCCTCCTTCACTGCCTGAGTGCAGGTGTGCCTCTGCCCAGAGCTCCTCAGCCCTCAGCCCACATCAGCCCACGCCAACGGCGAGCCATCACTCTGGAGGCCCTCTGTGAGAACCACTCAGGCCCAGCACCACCCTACAGCATTTCCAACTTCTCCATCCACTTGCTCTGCCAACACACCAAGCCTGTCACTCCACAGCCCCCTCCCAGCACCATTGCCATCTGCCAGACCGCTGTGTGGTATGCAGTCTCATGGGCACCAGGTGCCCAAGGCTGGCTACAGGCCTGTCATGACCAGTTTCCTGATGAGTTTTTGAATGCGATCTGTAGTAACCTCTCCTTTTCAGCCCTGTCTGGCTCCAACCGCCGCCTGGTGAAGCGGCTCTGTGCTGGCCTGCTCCCACCCCCTACCAGCTGCCCTGAAGGCCTGCCCCCTGTTCCCCTCACCCCAGACATCTTTTGGGGCTGCTTCTTGGAGAACGAGACTCTGTGGGCTGAGCGACTGTGTGGGGAGGCAAGTCTACAGGCTGTGCCCCCCAGCAACCAGGCTTGGGTCCAGCATGTGTGCCAGGGCCCCACCCCAGATGTCACTGCTTCCCCACCCTGCCACATTGGACCCTGTGGGGAACGCTGCCCAGATGGGGGCAGCTTCCTGGTGATGGTCTGTGCCAATGACACCATGTATGAGGCCCTGGTGCCCTTCTGGCCTTGGCTAGCAGGCCAGTGCCGGATAAGTCGTGGGGGCAATGACACTTGCTTCCTAGAAGGGCTGCTGGGCCCCCTTCTGCCCTCTCTGCCACCACTGGGACCATCCCCACTCTGTCTGACCCCTGGCCCCTTCCTCCTTGGCATGCTATCCCAGTTGCCACGCTGTCAGTCCTCTGTGCCAGCCCTTGCTCACGCCACACGCCTACACTATCTCCTCCGCCTGCTGACCTTCCTCTTGGGTCCAGGGGCTGGGGGCGCTGAGGCCCAGGGGATGCTGGGTCGGGCCCTACTGCTCTCCAGTCTCCCGGACAACTGCTCCTTCTGGGATGCCTTTCGCCCAGAGGGCCGGCGCAGTGTGCTACGGACAATTGGGGAATACCTGGAACAAGAGGAGGAGCAGCCAACCCCACCAGGCTTAGAACCCACTGTCAACCCCAGCTCTGGTATAAGCAAGATGGAGCTGCTGGCCTGCTTTAGTGTGAGTGCTCTGCCAGAGGGAAAGCTCCTAGAACAGTGAGAAGGCCCTCCAGGGGAATTCCTCGAGTACTCAGAGGCAGTAGTGTGGGGCAGTAGTTGAAGCACACAGCTCTAGAGTCAGACAGGCTTGGATATTTATATCTTGTCCTGGTGACCGCCTTGAAGTAGTTGATTAACTTCTTGAGCAATATTTTGCTCATCTCATTTATAAACTAGGATGATACTGGTAATGGAATAATACATGCGTGGGCTTGACACAGTGCATGAACACAAACGTGCCAATAAAATTACCTGTGATTTATGTCTTTTGGGCTCTTTTCCTGGCTCCCGCGTGTTTCTGCACGACTAGAAAAAGGACAAGTTAGAGTACCTCTTGATTTTTTCCTAGAGATGAGTAATGGAGGCTGGCAGAATACAGGAAGATAAGGCAGGAATGAGAAAGATTCAGGGACATGTACCAATCAGAAAAAGCTTGGGTTCTAGGGTTCAATCTGCCCCAAATTACTGTGATCTTAGGCAAGCAATTCATTTGGTTTTTCTGGGCTTCAGTTTTTACTGTAGAATGGAGGGGTGGGAATTGTTAAACACCGTAATTCATTCACTGAATGCCTTATTATATGCAAGGCACTTTGCTAGGTTCTGTAGGATATATAAAGATTCCTTACTCCATTTTGGGGGGCTCCATTTTTCAAGCCCTGGGCCTGTAAAATGGAATTAGATAGTCTCATAGTATTTGGTTCAGGTCTGCAAGTATTTAATTGATCCAACTATGGACCTGGCATGGGAGAGGGTACAAGAGAAATTAGAGATATGATCCTGGACCTAAAAGAGCTTAATATCTGAAGAATCACAGTTGAGTGAAGGACGAGCATCCCAGCAAGTGGAGTTGGAAAGCCTGGGAGCTGCAGGGAGACAGAGAAGACAGCTCTGTTGCATATTTTGTCTTTTCTTCCCCCAGGCCTGTGCTGTGGGATCTGCTCCAGAGGGAAAAGAGTGTTTGGCCCTGCAGATTCTAGTGCAGGTAACAGGGTGGAGGCCATGGTGGGGCTGGGTGACAGCCATGGCCAGGAGGTCCCGTGCCCTGTGAGGCCATACCCACCATGACCTCCTATTCACAGGCATACCTGCATATGCCCCAGAAAACCTCCAGTCAAGCTGGTGCTTTCGAGAGAGGAGGGAGCTGCACGGGGCTTTCCTGACACCTCATGCTGCAGGAGAAGCTGCAGGTGAGCATAGGAAAGAGGAGCAGAGGGCACCTGGAGCCTAGTGTTCAGAGGGCTTGCCTTAGTGAGGAG